CATTTATTATTCCATCTACTGTTTTACACAGAGCCAAAGTAGGGGGGTACAGGATGAGTGTTTTTTTTTTCTTTTTTAAATAAAAAAGGAAAAGTGGTAAACAGTGCTGCTAACTCAGGCACGGCTCATGCTGACGCTTTACTTCCCAACCTCCTCTCACACATCTCTCTCTTTCACACACACACACACACACTCCATCATCCTCTATTCACGACACTGCTGCAAGTGATGGAAGAAACTGGAGATACTGGCTAAAATTTTTGGTTTCAACTGGAAACCAGACAGAACTTCTTTTGCTGCTCATCTGAATCTATGATCTTGAATTGCCAACAAATGACTTTGTCAAAACTTAACTTCCTGATATATTATTATTTAAAAATCATAAATCATTTCAATGAATGTATTATTAGCATCATGTTTTTATATGGAATACTTTAAAGCAGTGGTTCTCAAACTTTCTATACTCTGTACCACCTGAGAAAACATTGAGTACCACCATGATGACCAACGTTAGAATTCCCCCACTCGTTCCACGTTCAACTTGCAAGTGATCCCCTGATTCCGTGCTGCCTGTGCTTACGTGAGCAACATACATCCTATTTCATAATCTCACAAGTAGCTACACTTTTTTTTCCCAAATGCTGTATTAATTGTGCATGGTATGTTTCAGATGTATTCAATTGAAAATGTAAATACAGCTTTTCGTGGTTACGTCACCCCTTAAATTTAGTAAGAAAGTCTTGTTCCATCATTCCAACATACTGCATTAAAACTCACCAACTAGACTGGACAGGAACTAGTTGGGAAGCTGAGCCGGCAAATACAGTCACACAGTGCTATACACAGAAGATGGCTTTGTTTATAGAAAGAGAAATGGGACACACATCCTGTTGGATTATTCACCTGTCAATCATGAATTGTTTTCTCTGATTTAGTTTTACAGTATGTGGGCCTAAATTAAGAAAAACACCAAGTTCTTTTGCATATATATAAAATATAAACCATATTAAATGAATGAAAGGATAACTACAGTTTGACTAGTGGTATAAAACGGGGTTCGATGTATACTGAAAGTTTTGTTTATTTTGAATTTGAATTTATTAAGAATTGATTGATTGATTGATTTTCGTTAAAAAAAGTTGCAGGACTAATGTGCAGTAGCATGATGCAGTATCCATGAGTGAGCACATATTGATCTGCCCCAGTCCTACTGATGAGCCGTGTTTGTTGATGAAGTGTTGCAGCAGACACACCGTGACTGTCCACCTATCGTTGGCTAATCCATTGCACCTGTCAACTACTTGCACTGGGGGAGGAGAGCGAGGGGGGAGGAAGGGACATGTAGTCCAACAGCAAGCTGTGCAGTCTCGAACACTAAGCCCTCACGGGGAAACTAAAGCGTCTTTTCCCAACACACTGTAACAGTTCCGTACGGTAGGGCGGCTCACCTGTCATAACTCCATCTGCTGTAAGACAGGCTCCTGTTGCCGCTCACTCCCTCCATGTCTGCGGCGCTGTGGGTGGACAGTGATGGGGAAAAGAGCAGTGGAAACCGCTCCTCTGTGGCTCCTGGTCTCACTAACACAAACAGCAAGTAACGATGCACGCAGCCAGACTCTCCTTCTCTCTCTCTCTCTCTCTCTCTCTCTCCCCTCTCTCGCTTTCTCTTTTCTCTCCTCCTATAGGCTGCTCTCCAGCCTAGGATGGAGGGAGAGATGCTGATGATTATATTTTACATCCACACTGGATGGTTAATTGTCCGTCTTCTGTCTAAGTCCCTGCAGCCTGTGTCCTGCCTGTCAATAGCCTCGAACAGAGCTGACACTCATTAAGGCGCAGCGTGAATGGACGGACGTCTGTTTCTTTACTTATTGGCCTTATTGGCGTCTGCTGGCTGCGAGCAAACACCGAATCTTCTCACTCATTGGCTGATCAATACCACACGGCAAACACGGAAATCACGTAGACACACACACACACACACACACCTTCAGCTGATGACAACATTTTCCAAACATTTAAGCTTTTCTCATAGAGCTGTAATATTTTGCTAAACAGATTTTCACAACAAACATCCTTTTTTTCTTACTTTTTAAGGAAAGCATTGAAAGAAAAAATCTTCAAACACCTACAAAAATGCAAAGGTACAAAGTATTAATCCACTTGAGCCTAAGTAAAATTCCTCATATAATAGTTCAAATCAAAGTTCTTCATATATGATACCATATTAGAAGTCAACTGGAAACTCCCATTAATGGCTGCCATCTGTCAGAGGATAACAATCATTTTGAGCTCGTTCCTTCCTTCCTTAAACTTGTACGTAATGTCATTCAGCACCATTTATGCACCAACATTTGGGACTAGATTGGAACTGAACCCGGGACCTTGTGCAAAGCAGGGGTAAATCCAATAAGTGCAGTATTATCCTCCATATTTAACAAATACATCTTCATTTTTATTTGACAGTTTTTAGCACAGATCATGACATTTCAATCAGACCTGGACAATTTCTATTCCGATGCATGGTCTCTGTGGTTGCCGTACAAAGAGAATAATCATGCAGTTTAGGAAGGATATGAATTCATAGGCAGCTGGTTAAAATTGACCAGTAGTATTGTTAATTGTCTCGTTGCTGGTAACACAGAGACACAACACCAGGGTTGTAAATGAAAATTTAATTTAAAAAAAAAATGATGAGACCAAATGTGAATACATGCAGTTCTTGAGGTGTAAGAGCTTTTAAAAACCCAACAGCAGATGAGAGCAGGAGCGGAGGCTGACATTTCACATAACTGTGTATTTTTTTAAATGCTTCCTCCATAAAGGAAAAAGGAAAATTACATGGAATTGCTTTTTCAATTTCCTTTCACACTTTCACGGCAGGGCTCATGTCATCTTGTGATCACAGCGAGTGGCTGCTCCTCTATTGAATCTACCCAGGGGTAATTATGTGAAACCATGGCCAGGCTTTCTACACATCTAAGTAATAAAAGGAAAATGGAAAATAATGGCACTCTTTTTTTCTACGATTTAATTTTCTAAAACAACTTAAACAACTTTGGGTTTTTGTGAAATAAATACTTTTAAAAATAAATGTTACTTTTGTGGTAGGTAAAGTGGGTGGCAGATGTGATTATTTAAAATATTTAATTCCACCTAATTGGTCTGAAAACGATTTATTTACTGGAGATAATTTGTCTTTGTTCATCTATCTAACAGTGCCAGATTGAACAATTAAATACTCTCCCACTAGGTGGCAGTAGATTGCTATAAAAACAGAGGCGAAGAAGATCTCAGCGTGTCTTTCTTTAATTCCTGTTAGTTTATTAGTGTTGTGTTCAACTAAACAGACCAGGGTTTAATACTAAAGAAATTAAACTTTTTTTGTTGACATTTTTGTTGGTGGAACAAAGATCGGGGTGGAGGGTTCCATTAAAATATGTGCTAATCCTCAAAGATGTTTGGCTTAAAATATTTGAAACTACACATAATTTTAAAACAGATCAAAGCAAAACTGTATCTTTTGTGATTTTTATTGTTTTAATAAATTCTCTAACCAGTCTGGCTCAATGACAGATTTTATTTCAGCACCAAAAGCTAGACACAGGGAATAAGACAGTGATAAAGAAGAAGACAGTAATAATTAAAAAAACAAAACAAATGGTATGATTTGAATGTACATTAGATTTGCAGTGAGAGAGAGAGAGTATATTTAGACATTTTACAAATTCATTAGGGTGATCTAACGTTACCATGTCAACACCAGAATACGTTCTCTAATACATTCGTCTCTTGGCTGGTGAAGGACACACCAGATAAATATTCACTTTTCATTTATTTATTCAACCACAACATGAAAACACAATTTTAGTCACATGTGGGAGAAAAAGCTAGATTTTTTTAAATTTGGGCCAAAGATTTTGAACCACGGTTTATAATAGAAGAATTAAATATTCGCCTTCACGTGTACACACAGCTGTGCCGTGAATATGTACTCACTTATAAACATATAAAAATACTCATTTAGTAGTTTGATAAGAAAATAATGTATAAAAGTAGAGTAGAAACATTTTAATCAAGTCCATGACTTCCATCATGTGATTATCTGGTTTAAATTACAAGACCGTGATATACCAAAGAAACTGCAGTACAGAAGAGAAGTAGGCAGGACGTGATTTGTGATTGTGGTGTGATGGCAGCTCCGCAGGTGGCAGCCCTGCTGAGTTCACGTCCCAGTAGAGATGGACTTCTGCTTGAACTTTCTCAGTGCTTCAACTTGTCCTGGTTTTTCCAACTGGCAGAACATGGAGTGAAATGTGGCAGAATAACAGGAAATTCACAAAACAGGGACCAAACAGATACATTTACCACTGTGTTACTGGAATGATTATATAACAGTAATCTTATTACTATCCTTTACTGGAATAAATGGTTGATGGAAAAGCCGCCTTACACTGGAATGATCTGAACTAAAGTGAGCTTTGGTTTAGAAAAGCAAACACGGATTTGTTAACACTGTCAGAAGTTGAACATTAAATATCTGGAAAAAAAACATTATTTAATCTGCTTCTTAGAATCTGAAACAATCTGTGATGTTCTTATCTGACCACAGAACCTAGATAACAAAATGCATAAAGGCCAACAGTTGCAAAGTGAAGCCATGGAAGCAGCGCTTCACTGGTTTCAATGGTAAATCCACCTGAATGCAGTCCAAACAGGAAGTGCCTATTTACTTATTTAACGTTACATCAGGTAAAACTTTCTTGTGGATTACGTCATAAATCTTTCTTTCTCATCTGATCCCATGTAGAGAAAAAATAATGAATAAAGCACAAAAGGACAGTACATCATCAAAATTTACTACAACCGTCACAGGGAGCAGGACAACTGACGACTGCTCTGCAAGACTTTGTTCAGCATGTGTCACACTTTAGAAATCATTTGTTCACTTGAAAGACATTCCTTAAAATGTTAAGTACTAACTTAGCATCACAAACATTCATGTCATATTCTATAAAATGTCTACACGCCGGGAGTTGAATTTGTCTTAGATATGGCAAAATAGTAGAGTTTATTTGACAAAGATGTTGAATTTCCCGAGTCATGGATCACCGTGTTATAGAGATGCAGGAGAGTTACTTAACAGGAGCGTAATTTACAAAAGTGTACATTATGTTTTAGTGAAAAACATATGCCTCCAAAACCATAAAGAAATCCACTTCCACAGCTTCACTTGAAGAACCAGACAGCTGAATCTACCTCCATTAATACGGCCTATGATTTCAACTGATTTGCCAACAATCAAGATACAGGTCGCAACTGTGAGAAACCCAAGAAAAAGGCAATCATTTCATTTATAAGACTTCTAAAAAAAAAAAACAACAAAAAACCCCCCCACAAAATTCATACAGATACCGCATTTTTGGCAATTGAGATGAAAGCAGACACCACAGATAGAGAATAAACTGCAAAGTTCTATCATTGTAGCTTTAAGGGCTGTCTTGGTATTATATTTATGTACATACTTTTATAGTCATAGTTCATATGTGTAAAACCAAAGTCAACCTCACACACTGTACTGTGGTGATTTTAATAGGTTATTAGAAATACATTTTTGAAAAAAAAAATCACAACAAATGTCACTTATGTACAGTAGCAGATTAGCACATGGGAGTAAAGGGTGGATATGGCACGACATACACAAAGCTCAGTAAGATAATCTCTCTGCTCTGATCAGACATTTGGTAACTAAAGAAAGTCAATAACATTCCACTTTATGTTATTATATTATTATATATTATATATATAAATATATACATGTATGTCTATATATGTGTGTATAAATGTGTATATATACACATATAAAGGTATATATGCATATACATATATACGTAATTCATATAATTCATTCAATCTCGGTAACACGTACAAATGTCACTACAAGGCAAGAGAAGTCTTTCAATAGTACAAAAAAAGGTAAATTTGTCAGGCTGATTTAGAAGGCAATGTTTAGTGTTGGGACTCTCTGGTGTGAATTAGGCTGTGACTGAAGGTAAAGTGGTGATTACATTTTGGCATTGCCACGTTTGTCCATAGTGATGTCCAGGCGACTACACTTCCTGGTCCGTGTCTATGTCAGAAAAGGCTGTTTGGAGTCATGCACGTGGAGAAGGCAGCGGTCAGTCATCCACTCCGGATGTAACGTCAGGCAGAGTGGGTGGTGGGTGGGGGTGGGGGTTGGTGGAGAGTAGCTGCATGAGATGCATACAGTGATGAGACCAACTCAAACGATCACACAATGGCAGCCGCTCTTGTCTTTTTCTTTTCTCGTGGGCTCTGGCGACGGTGGACATTCCTGTTCCTGGAATTTCCTGGGAAATGAAAGTGAGAAAAAGGTCTAAAATAAAAACCACTTCTCAGTCCTATTGTCTTCTCCTCCATATTAAAGGGTACTAAACTATCATTCTGTTTCAATCATTTTCCACAGCTTAGTCCTATCTAGAGTCACAAAGGGAGGTGGAGCCAATCGGTCATCATTTGAGGGTGGGTTGCACCCTGGACAGTTCCCCATCAATGGGCCACTAACAAGATAAGAGAGAATTCATTCTCAAATTCATACCCGTGGGCAGATTAGAGTGAATCAGAAAACCAACAAAAATGGAGAGAATCTGATTTGGGATGTAGTGTTCATTATCAACAGACACACCCTTATTGACAGTCAGTTGCTCTACAGATCTTCATGGGAGATTTTATCCGACACACAGATAAAGCATCACTGTAGCCCCATTGTCATTAGTTACTCTTAGTCTTAGAGCCTTGGTTCTGGTGGGTCATGGAGCTGAGTGGTACCTGACATATGAGTCATTACACAGTCGAGGGCTTTTAAGTGTCTGTGATGACGTGCATGTCTCACAGCTAAAACAAATTCACTTGTCTCCAAAGCTTTTGGCCAATCACAGGGTGAAAGAGTTAGTGCTGTTGTCTCCATGTTTTCTCCCACAGTCCAAACACACGCAGCATTAGGTGAAATATTAACTCCAAACTGACCGTAGGTGAGAGTTGCAGTGTGATTGATTGTTTATCCCCTATAAGTGTACTTGTAATGAATTGGCTAACTGTCCAGGGTGTACCACGCCCCCTAGGATGACTGTACAGATCATCTCCAGCTCCCAAGCAACCTTGAATAAAAGATGAATCATCTTGTAACAGTGCTCTTGAATCATAGAGGAGAGTTTATAAATATGTGGTTAGCACCATCCGCAGGCTAAGAAATGGGAACTGCATGCTCATCCTCGATTTCACCGTGAGGCACACTGGGGCTTTGAACAATGAAAATCACAAAAACAACAAATAATACGTTGTAAAAACACTAAAGAACTATTCCTCTGTATTACAGGTACCGTGTTATTCTAAAAAGCTACATTTCATGTCTGGTAATCAACATCTATTTAGGTCTCCTTTGCTGATTAGCTGCAGCTCAGCACCTCCACAGTCACACCTGTGTTTCCCCACAGCTGAGAACAATCAGCCTGACAGTCAGCTTAAATCAGCAGGTTGTGGTTCTCAGCTCTCTTGGGGTTTTAATGCTGCAGAGGGCAAAACGCTTTGTTGGGTCTGTCTTTGTAATTTTTGGTCATTTTGGTCAGGTTAATAACTGATTGGATGTCAGTGTTTAGTTGGATTAATTCACCGTAACCATTGAGTTCCTCTTCTCTATTCATTCAGTCCTGTTTTGTATGATTGTATTTACTTGATTCATTATTTGTTGTTATTTATTTGGAATTTACTTTAACCAAACTACCCCTTAAAGTATTTCTTATCATGCAAATTAAATTAGGGTGATCACATCAATGTGGATTTGATAAAGGTTTACTTGAATTGTATTGGTAAATCTATAAATTAAAGAAATAAAATTGACACATGCATCCTTTTATAATACTGTACCAAGTATGAATGTCGTTATTATATAAAAAATGTGTGACAACATTAAAAAACCTGCACGAGTCACTAAAAAACAACAACCACACGGGGTCAGCAAAAGCAAGGATGCCACTGACCTGATTACCCTAACCAGCTCATGAAAAGCTTGGTCTACGTTCATACGGATTTTGGCAGAAGCCTCCATGTATGTGACTTTGAGTTGTCTGGCCATCTGTTGACCCTCCTCCTGGGTTACCTGGGGGCAAAAACGGCACAGATAAGTATTACACTAAGGGGGGCCATTTCTATGAAATAATATATAGAGTCTTTATATAGAAGTAAAACAATAAAGTGGATGTTTTCATTAAAGGAGATGGTATATGTTGACACCATTCCATAGGAAAAGTCAAATGACTGATGTAGAAGAGCTGGGAGTACAACAGTGTTTATTTGTCTCCTTTTTCATGAGTACATTCGTCAGCACATTTTTTTATGCATATTATATATTTCATTTTCATGTTGTGGGGCAACACATTTTCCACTTGAAACATGTTTTTTTAACATCTAATTTAATTTATTATAGTGATGGGCTGAGGGATACTTAGCAACATACTAAATCAGTATGTAGAAATTATATGAAAGCCAATCTATTTTAAGCATTACAATCACTGAACTAAAGCTTATTTTTATTGTTATTAGCACAAACGTCTTCATCAAAATGACATTAAAGCTAAGGAAATACCTGTTCCTCTAACTAAAATGCATGTTAGAGATAACCCACCGTAAAGAATACTTTAGTAAAGCACTTTCTCGCCATAAGGGGGCAGTGTGTACCCACTGCAGGAAGTGCCAAACGACAGCACAGCATTAGCTAGAAATGTCATCATTTCATTACTTTCCCTTTCTCTCCATCCATCCGCTCTGTGACGCCACCCGTCCTACAGTCTGTCTTTGATTCTTCTGCTCACATCCTGTCGAACTGCAGCTGCTCCATTTGTTTCTACTTAAAAATGTGCAATGAAAAATCCTCCAGGCTGGTGCATGCTATCTCTGTGGATGATCAAACTGGGTGCATGTGTGCCAGCCTGTGTGTTTGAGGGAACTGTTGGGACTCACTTGTCTCTGTGGTTCCAGGTCGGCTTTGTTTCCTACGAGGATCATGGGGAACTCGTCTCTGTCTTTGACTCGGAGGATTTGCCTTTGGAATTTGTAGATTTCTTCAAAACTGTAAAACATGTCACATTGTATTCCACTGTGTATTGTTTCACACTTTGAAGAAAAACACACAACTGAGTATTAGGGTTACTAACACAGCAGTGGGAGAGGAAAGATGGAAAAAGCCACCGTTACAGAAACATTCATCTTTTTCTCTCAGACTTTTCTCTTTTGACCATTGTCCCTCTATTATATAAATGTCATGTTTCTTTTTCAGACAAGAAGAACAATTTCTTCAGAAAAAAAAAAGATCAATTCGAGAGGGAAACAAAGACCACAAAAGCCAGGACAGCATTCCAGACCTGGGCCAACAGACTGCATAGTAAATCTGGAAAGACTTGACTAATATAAATGGAGGAAGGAAAGACTGTTTACAATATAAACATTGGGAGGTGGGTTTTGGTGGGGGCAGGGGCTCTGTAACTGACTGGGCAGGGACACAAAGGACTGAGAGGATGTGGAGTGACACACTCAATACATTACCTTTAGAATACCACGCTACAGAGTAAAACACCTTCCAGTGCCCGTATAGCCCTGAAACTACGTGTTCAAATAATGACAATTTAACTTTTACATTATCATTATAACCTTTTCTTTGTATTTTTGTCCTATGTTGTGTATTTTAAACCTAATAAATACATTAAAATATCACTGGAAAACAAACTGCTCTCTATGTAAGTCATGTTTGCACTTGACTTAACCACTATTTTGGACTAAAATCTTATCTTAACTAACTAAACTAGATGTGGCACAGAACATATCGTGTCAAATGGTGTAGAAAATGTGCTATTTCTAAGAAGTTATTTCTTTAAGTAGAAAGTGAACCTGCCCTAACAAGTAAAACCAAGAGGGCAGGAAGTGTGAAACAAAAGAAAATGACAATGAGTAAAAAAAAGAAAAGAAAAAAGGTGCATTAGTGTGCAGAGGCAACAAGTGAGAGTACGAGTTACACAGAGGGGGCTGTGAAGTGAGCGTGTACCTGTGAACAGTAAACAACAATGTGACAACAGAAAAGGGGGGGAAAAAGAGGCAGCAGTGCTAGGCTGCACATGGTGAGAAGTGTCATTTACCTTCCTCTGTCAGTGACTGAGAAGACGAGCAGGAAGCCCTCCCCTGTCCTCATGTATTGTTCTCTCATGGCTCCAAACTCTTCCTGTCCAGCCGTGTCCAGGACTAGAAAGCACATAGACACACATACATGTGATGACGCGCACACACACAGACAGAAGAATAACTTATTCAATAACTTCTTCAAATGCAGCTTAATGCCACCGTATAAATGGCCTGTGTCGGTGCGTCTATATTTATATATGTATTCCCCGCCTGTGTTTGTTCTGCAGAGTGCACTTACTGTCAAGCCTGGCCGCCCTTTCGTCAATCACACACTGCTTTGTGTAGGAGTCTTCAATTGTGGGATCATAGTCGGTGACAAAGTACGACTGCAGAGGAGAAAGAGCAGAACAAAAAGAGGAAAAAAGGGAAACTTGAGCATGTGTGTGATCCATAATTATGTCATGATTAAACAGAAGCTGCACCCTAACTATAAACAGTGTAAACCTTCTTTCACCAGCACACACATGCTTCTGACAGAGACGTCTTATTTACTCAAACGGGAAAAGGAGCACTGCATCATGTGGAGCCATTAATTAGAGGGGGTTCCTTAAGTGAACACTTTAATGTCTACTGTATGTTGAACACGCAGTTGACTCTGGCCGAACCTCCAGTCGTATTTTGTTACATGAGCTTATTTCTAATCAGTCCTTTCTAATAACTATTACAAAACAACTTAAAAGCAAAGCAGAAAGTGGGTGTATGTATCGTAGATGAAGATCCCAGGAATGTCCATGTTAGACAAACTACCAGAAAGGGAAAAATAAACGAAGGCAAGATGAAAAAAATTACTGAATTTAAAAAAATCACTTAGGGTTACAGCAAAATGGTTCACAAATATCCAAATGCTGGCCCAAAATAGCCTAAAACAACCAAATTATAAAACGTAACTTAGAATTAAAAACCTTCAAACAAAAAAAAAGAAAAACTATAGGACAACGCAAAGAGGCTGAAACTAGCCAAAATAACTATGGGCTAACCAGCAATTTACCACAGAACCAAGAACAACAACAACAAAGCATGAAGTAAACAAGAAAATACTATAAATAAAAACAAATATATCTTAATACATATCTAAAGATATATTTTTATCTTATATTAAAAATATAATCAATGCTGGCCAAGAAAAATATCATCAAAATTTGTAGCTCAGAACTGACACCATATCAATAGCCCAGAAATCATTAGTTAATCAAAGTTAACATAACTAAGAGCAGTCATTAAGTCATTAGAAATAATAGCCTTAAAACAGCTGAACATTAAAATAACCCACAACACCTTAGGTTTTTTTGCACTGCTCAGCTCTTCCATTTCATTTCAGTTCCACAGGAATGTCCATCAAAAATATCGTCAACCTTATTTACTGTCAGTTATTCATCATTAACACAAAGACTTCCACTGTGTTATAATGGATCAGAGACAAAAAGACACTCAGGCCTTGTGTTAGTGGTGGGAACAGCACAGACAAACTAACTGACCTCTACCTTTACCACAGTCCTGCAGGTAGGAGGTAAACTCACCGTGTGCAGACACCGGCACAAAATACTGTGAAATAAATGTTTTTCCTCACCGCGCTTCGGTTCAGATATAACAGACTATTTTTCATGCTGCTCTCGCATTTTCTTAAACATTTTTTCAGTTGCAGCAGTCATACCGCTCACTCCTGAAGCCTTTGAATCCAAAGCCAATATCTGGTTTCCTAGTAACCTCAACTGGAAGGGTGGGGCTGGAGGAGCCGGGAGGAGGAGGAAGGAGGAATCCTGCATTTTTTACATTTTTCGCATGTTTTGTATTTCTTGCTCTCCTCAGGGACTTGTAAAGTGGTGACAGCTGAGGGGGGAGTGGGCTCTCAAACCAACACCCTTAAACACAGAGCAATCACAGGAACATAAAATCCAGGCCCCTGCTGTTCTAACGAGCCAAATTAAAGTCTGACAGTTACAGTACATGTGTGAAAATGCGTGTGTCACTGTGTGTCAGGCCGGGTGCTGTTTATTGGCTGGTATTTGGCGGCTGAAGCAGCTGCAGTATGTGTAGTAAATATTTTACATCAGACCGCAAACATTTAGAATATACAGAGGAAACTTTTTAATAAAAATAAGCAAACAAATGGTGTCTTTCAAATGGTGAAATTTTTTTCTAGTCTAATCTACCATAGGGCTTTAGTCAGTGAGTTTGGCTTCGATGTAGTCCACGTCGGTGACAATAAAAAATTGGAGAAAAACGTGGACAAAATAAAGAAAAATAATGTGTTGGACTAGTCCAACTCTCTAAACATTAATATCTGTGTTCAGTATGACTGAACTGACACCAACAAATAGCACCATGTTCCAATCACCATCTGCTAAATTCAGAATGACTTCTTTAAAAACATAAACCAGACATTTCAGAGGACTATAACTACATTTCACTAAAATGTGTTCTGATGTGGAGGTGCACGGAACCACAGAATCAAGGGAGCTCTTTGTTACATACAAGCAGTGAATTGCATCATCATGGGCAGCAGTCAGTGAGTGAGCGGGACCGGAATGATTATTAAAGTTTTAGGAATAGAAAGCAGAAAATGTTGCTTAGTTTTCTTTAAAGCAACGACTTCCGCTCGGAGTGTATTTTATATTTGTTATATATTTAAAAACATCGATAAAACACAGTTGATCAACAAATGATGGAATGATTACAGCTCAGCTTTCATTACATATTGTCTTGCAGGAGGCACTCAGTGTATAAACTTACTGCTGACCACACACTAACCTGTGCCAGATAAGCAATTACTGTGATGTAAGTGTTAATGTCAATTAGACACAACATTTTCAACATTTTTTTTCCGTACTTCCAGATGTCGATAAACCCAACAACAAACAGACTCCGTTGTTATTGCAGGCACCCTGTATCACTGTGGCCTCAGTCACGCTGGTGAATAATTGATCAGTATTACTGTGTTTCCTATGACGATGCTTTGCTGCACTGCAACGTCTTCAGACGACCGGAACGAGACAGAAAGAAAAGGTAACAGTGGGAGAAAAAAATCCCATCCCTCCCACTACAGCTACTGCTCTCACAGCCAGAGCTACAGCATGTGACCTCAGCTTCCCATCAACCTCGTATTCCTATTCTGTCAACTAGCAGCAGCCGCATTAGGCACCGCACTGCTCTGTTCTCAGCTCCCTTCTCCCTTTTACATGCACTGGTAGCAGAGCAGTCTCCCCTGGCTGTGGCTTAGATGACTCTCCCGTGATAGATGAGGACGTTTTGCAGCGCCAGCAGCGGCAGAACTAGAGCTAGCACTAACAGGGACTTGACTTTGGGCCTGGCAGTACTGCAACTGGGCTGTGGAAGAATGATGGGCTAGGTGAGTGCACTGTGACTCAGGAGGACGTCCGATAACTATGACATAATCCAGCTCTGACTCATGGGCCTGTAATTTGAGCTGCAGAACCTTATGTTGGACCGTGACTTCACCGAATGAAGCAGCACAAACCTTAAATGGAGCAAATCAGGCTTTTATGTGAGGGGAGTAGAGGCGTAGTTTAAAAGGTGATGAGTCTGAGATCTGCAGCTGTGCCTCGTATTTTTTTTATATACATAGGGCCTAGTACTCTGAAAATAAAAAGTCAAAACTATCTTTATATTGATAAGCTGTAGGAAGAGCAATTATGTCACTTAAACACAGATCGAAGAGTTCTCTTCGAACGTTACTTAACTTGACACACCACAGTTATATTTTTAACACACACACATATATATATTTTATTTTATTTTAACTATAAATAAAGAGGTGAAACATCTTCAGTCAGATGACCTGGATGACCGGAACTACACAGACTTGTTTAATGGGAGTCTTTGTTCAACATGTAGATAAACGTTTCGATGCTACCATATTTTCCAAAAGACATAAAAGTTGATGAAAAGAGTGTTTAGTCCGGTTAGTCCTACATCTCTGCATCTTCAACCTAAACAAAAGGTCATGTGCAGATCGTTATTTCTTAAACAAAAGATATGAAATTATCAGTATCACCACCAACTACAAGTAATCATCATTTGTTTCTTAGTATTTTACTCTCCAATTCATGAGAAGACATTTAAAGCGGGTGCATCAAAAAGCAGATTTGTTTATCTCTGATATACACACAAAAAAATGAGACAGGTTCAGCGTCAGACAACAATGACCTGTGGAATTCTACATATCAGTAATGTGGGAACACTTTCCGATGATCACAGTTCAGATAATCCATCACGCCTTCTCTGCCAAGGCATTTCACAGGTACGTGAAGAGGCGACGGACGAATCACTCGATACATTTCCATGGAAACATTGAGCAGTTGTCTTAAGGAAATGCCTGACAGTGACAGTGGGGTCAAAAGCCAGTCAACAGTGCATGTATATACTGCAGACACTCTTACTGTGTGGTTGGCTAAGTCTGCAAGTAGCTGGTTAACTGGTAACAGGTTTGATAAGAGCGTGCACCGAGGGCTTGGTCTTCGTAGGTCGGGACAGGCCCTGATACACTATTTTGAGCTAGACTTTTCAAGACAAAGAAGCATTGTTAACTCCTGATCCAGATTCTATTTCTCAGTTATTTTATGTACTCTTTACATAAACAGACGACAACACATGGCCTGAGCCTAGATGGCAGTGATAATCCAGTTCTGCCCATGGCAGTTTTTTTCAATTATTAGAATGCTTTAGTTCTTGTGTCAAGGTCCATGGGTCCAAAGCAGAATACCAGTTGTGCTCACATTAAAACTTACAAACATCATGTATTTAAAAAACTATTTTATACACTACATCGATCAAGATATTGTGATAAAAAAATGTTATTCAAGCTGCACCGAGGGCAATCAGACAGGTCCTGACATGAGTACCAGTATGGGTGTGTTCATTTGTGAGCTGTAACATTGTCCGCTCTATTGATCTATCAACCTATGACGTCAAAGGAAAACAACACATCATCATTTTGTCATTTAAGCAACCGACGGTAAACACAACCAAACAACTCTGCAGATCAAAGCTGCATCAATCCAGGTTCTGGCGATAAGGTGGGTCAGGCCAACCTCAGGCTCAGGCAGCTCTGCAGGAAGGAAACTCCACCTCTGCAGCAGGCAACTGGCCCAGCCAAGCCCTCGGGTGGCGGTGACGTCACGGACGACAAGTTCTGCTACCCTGGCCGACCTACCAAATCCCAGACCTGTCACTGCACTCCCCTCCAGCATTCCGGCTTTACATCTAAACCTCTCCACCCACATGCCGCACAGGCAGGCTCACACCGGGAAAACAGCATGGAACGAAGGCTGAGGATTCAGCAATGGAACAATGGCTGCGAACCATCGGG